GGGTTACCTGTGGTATTACCTGTGGTATTACGTCACGATCGCGCGCCTCGCGGGATACAAACAAGTCTGTGACAAGGTATGAAACACTGGTCACGTGACAAATATAATTTTGCTCCTTTTTAACCGAAAAACAAAAGAAATCGACAATTTTCTTTCAAATAGCAATACATCGTCAGATTTCTTAATTATCTCATGATTTTCAGTTTGAAATGTTAATTTCACGACGAGAAAATGAACAATAAGCATTTTACTCGCGTGGACCGATGTGTGCCCCAGGTATAGTGTCCACCCCTCCCTACCTTTTTTCATTCGGGTAGACTTCGAGGCCTTTCGTAAACAGTCGAGATTTTTCCGAGGGTCATCCGCTACCGTGCATTCGCTCGYGTCCGATTCGTGTCCTGAATTACTTGGTTGGTCTTACGCTGATTTTCAGCTTTTGATGGGAAGCTTTATGCCAATATCCTGAAACTTTGAGACTTCATGCAAAAGATGAGACAGTACATTGTGAGGAACAATTATTTTAAAGGCAAAGATCTTATTGAAGACTCTTGCTCATTTCAAAAACTCGAAAAATGGAGCAGAAAAGTTCATAACTTACGTGGATTTTTACTTGAGTTTAACCTTATAAGACTTAAATTTATGCCCATATGCAGTTAAAGCAAGCTTTCTTGAATGAGGGACTAGTTGAAACTAGAGATCTTTTCCTGATACTTTGAGAGGTATGTCAAGCACTTTAGTTTCTATGAAATCTATCGGCTTTTTTCTTGCAAACCACCGGCAGTTTTGAGAACTTTCCATTAAGTTATATTTTATGAAACCTTTACGTTTCACCGCTTTATTTCGGATTATTTAGATAATGAATTTTGTTATGTAGAGATTTTTGATGTTTGAAAACCCGAAAATGCTTCGTTCGGTTGAATTGGTTTCAAATCTCATTTTTAGAAGTTACTAGTTTCAAGCCAAGATAATTAAGATCTATGAATAATAAACTTGTTCAAAATATGTCTATTTCTTGTACTTAGAGATAATTAAGCTTTGTTTTTGTTATATAGCTTTTCATCGTTTCAAAATGGAAAGTCAATTAACTTAAATATAGCTAATATAGTCGTTTGAAACTAGAAAACCTCGAAAACTTTTCATATTGTTTTGTTTTTTGGTTAATTTTGCTTCTTGTCTGTATGTTTCCTTTCCTTTTTTTAAAGAAAATTGAATTTTAAAGCTTTATCCTTGACATTTTTTTTCGCCTCGAGAAACTCACGATTGTTTACGATCGTTTACGATGGGTCACGAAGTCTTCACGAATGAAAAAAGGTAGGGAGGGGTGGACACTATACCTGGGGCACACATCGATCCATCACGTGACCAGTGTTTCATACCTTGTCACAGACTTGTTTGTATCCCGCGAGGCACGCGATCGTGACGTAATATACCACAGGTAACCCACAGCGCGCGCCGATTCGATAACATAATATAAAAGCGTGCGCATTCATTCTTTTCTTTCGCTCAAGCAATAGTTGGGTAGCCTATGGTTGGATAGATAAAATATGACAATGGAAAGATTTGGAATTTTTCAAGAAGAAATTAATTTAACATTTTTAATGATGCAAAACAACTGAATCTTTGACTTTACTTTTCAATCTGTTTATTTAGCTTGATGATGCAAGATCTTCTATAAAATTTGCTTCTTTTATTGATCAAGCACCAAATATCGGCGGAGAAAGGCGAATGGATAAAGCACTCGAAACGGCATCTTTACTACTGACGGGCTCAAGATCAAAAGTCCTTAAAATTGCGTTCTTATTCACTGGCGGAGGTCAATCATCTAAAGCATCCATCCAAGATTTGAGGTCCGCGGCGCACATCCTGCAAAATAGTGGAGTCAAGACGTACATAATAGCTATTGGTAACAATGTAAAACGTCATGAGCTAAGTGCGGCTACTGAAGACTTTAAGTATGTCATTAAAGTGCTATCATTTGGTGGACTACCTTCGTCTGTTCCTCATGTCTTGAAAATCATTGATGGCGTGCATGGTGAGTTGTGTATTTTTTCTCAATATAGAGGTCACAAGAAATATGCCTAAATTCAAAAATATGGGCTGGGCAGTATAATATAATATAAAAATTAGGTAACACCTAAGCGGAGCTCCAATAGCAATATAGAAGCTGAAAATGATTATCTAGTACTGCCATTTCAAAGGTAGATGCTTTGTTCTAAGGAATGTGAGCTACTTAACAATTCGCAGGCGGTTTTCCATTGTCTGTACTCTTATTGACAATGAAATTGACGTCAAAATGCTCAAAACTCAAGTGGAACCATGAGCGTAAGCGAATTGTTTTTTACGATAAAAAAGCTGAAAACAAAGTAAAACTTTAAAAACAAAACCGTTTCTAGCGCGCGCCGGCTCCGTGCGCGAGCGATTCGTCATTTCAACGGCCCTCGACCAATCAGCGCGCGAGAATTCTACAAGTTATGGTAAAAAACAGTTTTGTTGACATGCGAACAAATATTATAAAGAGTATGTTTATGAGAATTTAGTTCGTACTAATATTGATTTCGGTAGACTTTGTTCCGTTGGATGAAGTTTAAAATTATAAYCTATAAAGGTCAATTGATTAAAAGTAAACTGATAGGTTCTCGGCAAAAAGTAGTCTACATAAGCTTACAATAATAAACATTGTTTGAACCCGGACTACTCGAACTTCACATAATCACAGAAAACTTACAAAAATATATTTTTTACCTTCATTATCGAACTTCCGATAAATTATCGTTCAAAGGTCATCTTCAACAGAGCCATACTTGTTTCAAGCATAGTTTTCATCAATTTATTAAGTCATTCAAGACTGTAGATTCTTTGTTTTTAATCTCTCTCGATCNAGCATGGTCTTGGTTTCGAAATGTCCACACTTTTAGTCGACAAAAGAACTTCGCATAGATCCCTGCTTTTTCCCATATTGGTCCATATTATTGAAGTATTTCCAATAAAGTATCATCTCTTTTTGTTGTCGAAATATCAAAGTAAAATCCTTCTTTCTAATATCACTTTTAAGATGGGCCTAAATTGCTTTTCAYCTTCGCAAATCGATTTCCCGGATGTGCGGACGCGTCGAAGTCATTGGCGGGAATATTTCTGTGTTGTTATTTCGCTCTTCAGTGGATTTTTTCCTTGTTATTAATTGTTCTAATATTATCAATATGTAATATAAATATTTAAGGAAAAAATTTCGATTTTTCAACAAATACTTGGCGCTTTCTTTCCTTTTCGAACGGAGTATGGGTTTCCTGTGGTGGTACACGGAATCCAGGACGGTAGGACGGACGGACGGAAGGAAAAGTGCGTACGCGCGGGAACCCTGTGTCGGTCCATGGAAAATCGACTCGATGGTATACCATTTTTTCTTAGCTATGTTGCTCCGCTCGGGAGCTCCGCTACAACATGTGTAAATTAGCCGAAAAGGAACACATTGAGGTATTTTTTTGATGGATATGTTGCGGATAAGCCAGAAAGCTAATGTATTGTGATGTATTATTTGTACATTTCGATTCCACAAATTACAGCAAATCATTTCTTTCATTTCTTATTTTATCTATTTTTTAGGGAATTTGACGAACAAGAAAATCACTTACGATATCGTATTTGTCATCGACTCAAGTGGTTCTGTAAATCCAAGGGACATTCAGCTACAAAAGCAGATAGTAAAAAATCTTGCTCATCATTTTGGTATAGGGTCTGATGGGTCGCGTGGTGCTCTCGTGAATTACGGTAACAACGCGGACCTTAATTTACGCTTCGACCAATATAGAAGCTTCGCCAAGTTTGAAACTGCTCTTGACCAGATTAATAGAATTGGCGGAGAGAGAAGACTGGATCGAGCTCTAAGCACTTCTGCAAGAATCATGGGTGAGGCAAGACCACATGCCTTTAAAGTGGTCATTCTTTTTAGTGCAGGTATGCAGAGCATGACAACAAACTCCTGGCAACTGAAATATGCCTCACGAATTCTAAAGAAAATTGGTGCACAGATTTATATAATTGCTCTTGGACCTAAAAATGACAAATCAGRACTTAGATCATTGACACACCGAGATGATAGCATCTTGAATATTCCTTCTTATGCCAACACCAAAGACATCACTGAAAAGACAGTTAACTTGGTGACTGATGGATCAGGTATACTTARCGTTTGTTGTAATTTCGCTGATGGTGTACCAATCTATTTTGTCCACGATCGTAGGTTTGTTTTATGTGTTGGATACGTCGGATGATATACAGTCGATTGACAAAAGGTTGTCGTCGACCGGACTTCGTAGCACGCAACCCACCCGAAGGTTCATAGGCATAACAACACCTTCTAGTATAGTGTCAATTTGTTTCGGCTTTTATTCTCTTTTTTAAGAACTCCGCCATGGTGGTAAACAATGTTTGATGCAAAAAACAACATCGTCACACATTATGTGTCAGTTCTTCCAGTCACAAAGGCGTTCAAATCTCTAATTTGCCAGTTCATTGATTTTTACCCAGAAACCAGTTCTGGCTAGTCGTGTTTCGTGAAACCCTTTCGACGACAACCTTTTGTCAATCGACTATATAAAGCAATGGTTGCATTGCACAACTGCAATGTTTAATGAAAGTTCTCTACACTCCAAAACAATCGTTTTGAATTTATGAAATATTACCAGTCTTACACAAAAGTCAAATGCAATATAATATACAACGCGAATATTTTCCAGTTTGCTGTGCTATCACTCTTCCACATGCCCTGCATCAGTTTTTTGTCAACTTTTCAGCCTGCGTACTTGTGCTCTAACGTCAGTACTGTGGGCTTAATGATTAAATGCGGATTACCATGWCCATCAGTCATGATAGCATATAATATGATTATTTTTTGACTCTATTATATATTCTCAAAGTTTTTGGTAAGAGCGCGAACAAGTAACTGAAATTACCCCTGTGTGAAATTGCACAAATACGCGTAATATGATGAATGTATGTTACAAAAGACTTTTATTGTAGGTCATTTAAACCTAACKGAACTAGCGGCTGACATTACATTCCTTGTCGATTCATCCTCTGACGTGAGCCTATCACAGTTTGCATTGGAAAAGGCTTTCATTAAGAACGTTGCAAGAAAGCTTGATATTCCAAAAGGACGCTCACGCATTGCACTAGTTAGTTATGGATCATCCMMAGTAAAAGTGTTTGATTTGGAGGATTATCGAGATATAAATGAATTTGATATCAAAGTCAACGGTGCCCCTTATATTGGTGGTCGTAGACATATACACGACGCTCTAAGATCGGCTAAGCAAATTCTTGATAATGGCAGTCCTCAGCATGTAAAGGTAAGATATATATATTGTAAAGTCACCAAACTTATAATGACCAATAGTTATGGTAAAAAAGTCAAAACGCTAGAACTTTGTACTATACTAATCGTTGACAAAATCCTTGAACCATTTCAGCGAACACCAACAGACAATATAATCGAAGAACTATTGGAGGGGGACGAATCTGTCACTCAATAAGTCACTCAGTCACTTTCTTGTAAACTTGAGCCTGCATTTCTTATGTCCAGAATTATTAATCTATTCTAATTATTTTCTGGTAATTTGTTCACTAATTTTCCGTTACCGGGCTCCCTATATTTTCTATATTTGATTGAATTTATTTATTTTTTGGCAAATAAAGAAATCAAAGAAAAATCAACTCATCTGGGTTTCGAACCTTGGACCCTAKCGTCGGAAATCCAAATCACACTCGGCTACGCTTGCAAATGTTGTCTTTTAAGTGGCAGGCTCTCGCCCCTGCTTGTCTAGAATCGAAGTTAAAATAATAAGATTTTAACGGAAAAATACTATATTCATAAAATAATCGTTTACTTAATATTCTATTTGTTAAGTAATTATATTTTGATTCATCGTATCGTTCTGCATTCATCTACACAATCAATCTTCGCCTGAGTTGTGTTGCCATTGGCAGCTTGATTTTGTTTTAATTTTTAGATTGTTTTCCTGTTAACTGCTRGAGTAAAGCTTTCAGATGATAGAAAGCGACAAACTGAAGAAGTTATCAACGCCTTAAGGTTGTCTGGTATTTTTACATTCGTCATTGGTATTAGTGAAAGCTTCAAAGCCAAAGATCTTTTGTCACTCGTTGATCAACGCGAGGATCTTATCATAGTAAAGACATTCGAAGGGTTGATTCCAATGGGCCACGATGCTCTTATCCGTATAGCCACCGGTGAGAACTGTAACCACCTTTATGTAAATTCTCGCGCATTGATTGGCTGTTAAGAGTGTGTCAATAATGATAAAAAAGAAATTGCACACGGCTTTTCGCTGTATGTTTTCTTATTGACACACTCTTAGCGCTAATTACATTACAAAAGAATGTGGGCAAAGCATTCTGGTAGTAAATAAAAAAAATAAAGTCTTTTATTTTGAGAGGGTAGCACGTAATAGTCTCTAGACTAATAAACTTGTGGCCCTCTATATATTCCCTCATACTCACTACCTCAACATTCATTATTTTACTACACGACACTCCTCACAGCTAGTTTTTTGACTGAGGGAGGAAAACCAGCGGACCTGGAGAAAAACCCTCGGAGCAAGGAAGAGAACCAACCTACAAACTCAAATCACATATAGTCCCGGACCGGGAATCGAAMSAGGAMCACAGCGGTGATAGACCGGCGTTTTAACCGCTCGGCCATCCTTGCTCCCCAAACTATTAGTTGTAGTTAATGACCCCATAAKACAATTTAACTTGAGTCCAGTCTTAGTTACTATGGTCCAGGAAATACTTTGTTGACGCAGTATTTTCTTCTTCTTTTCACTTCAAGCTGTGTCTTCAAGAATTCAATACAAAGCAGATATCGTTTTCCTTGTTGATACATCTAATGAAGTAAAAAGCGACAATTTTCTACGTTTGAAGCAACTCGTGAAAGCTTTGGGAAGGTATCTGAACATTCGTCCTAATGCTTCACATGCAGCCATATTACTCTTTGGATCCTCCTTCAACACCATTCTCCGTCTCAAAGATGATCAGTCTACTGTCAACTTCGAAAAATCCATTGATCGTGCTACTGCAATTGGTGGTTCAAGGCGAATAGATATAGCACTTTTAGAAGGAGCACGTCTTTTCCTTGAATCTCGATCTGATGTTCCAAGGATTGCTTTCGTATTAACAACCGGTAAGCAGGCTGACATTCTGGGCGCCAAACCATTATACGTTGGTAGGAAACAATTGCACGACATGTCTGCAAGGATTTATGTAATAGCTGTTGTTCAGAGTCCCAGAAATGGCGTCGGGCAGCTAAAACAAATTGCAACTACGCCTAATGATGTATTCTTATTGCCGTTGCTGAGTAACGTAGTGTCCAAAGTGTCGTTGATCTCACAGCATGCTAGGAACACAGCCACACAAGGTATTCCCTGTAGCATCTTATATAAATATAAATATTTCAAATTTATTGACAATTATTTTAAATAGAAGTACAGTGAAGCCACTAGAAAATCGATCAAAAATGTTCTTTAAATAAGGAAATAAGCGTTAGGCTCTAGTAGTACGTAGTTTGTTTGTCTAGCAACTTGTATTTTACTATAGCTTCATTTATTTGGACATATGATAGTTTTCCCGCAGTTCACTAAAAGATCATTTATTGGTTGCAATTATTATAGAGCGATTATTTCCTCTAATTTGGGTAATCAAAACAATGAAATTAGATAATGATTTATATTTTTTAGGCAAGGAACTATATTCTCTTCCTCCAACGGASCTGATATTCTTAATTGATTCCTCCGACGAAGTGACTACTGACTTGTACGAGAAGCAAAAACAAATAATTAAAGACATTTTGCAGCATTTTGATATCAGTGCAACTAAAACAAGAGTAGCAGTGAGCGCCTATAGTGACCGTGGTGGTGCTGTCATTACCTTTAATTCCTTCAGTAACATCATTGACCTGCATGAAGGTATCGATAATATACCATATTTCAGAGGAAAGAAAAGGCTAGATAAAGCGGCAAAAGACGCTGAAAAGCTGCTATCCACAGCTCGCACTGAGGTAAAATCCAAAACTAAACTTTGTCAACAAAGTATCATACTTGCATCACTTTTATTGTCTCTCATTTAAAGTCATCATTAAACAATAACTGCTTGTCATCAGGGTGGCACTGATCGAGCTCGTTTGTTGGCCAAACAAATTAGTCACAGCTGAATGACTGTTATACAGAGAATTGCCAGCCCGCTTTTAACCAATTAATCGCCGCTTAAAATCATAAAATACAAATAATAAGGGATGGACCAGTGAGATAGYAGTGAACACAACGCCCATGGTATTAGGATATGTTTGTAAAATKACTAGATTTGTAATTGATGCATAAGAATCCTATAGTATCAATGATGAAAACTAACGGTAAACTAGTAAGAGCTGCGCCGGTGTTTCTAAAGAAACAATTGTGAAATAAGACAAATTCTAAACCGTAGAATTACGAGAGGTAACTTACTGGCGTTTCGGGCGTTAAAAGTCCTACGATGGAGTAAACGAAKGGCTAACTCCGACGAAACTTACTACAACTAAGAACTAAGTTACTTCTCAGTCGTACTTTTTACGTTCTATCATTTATAAATATTTAACAACTGATCCTATAGTTTGATYGTTGGATATCGCGGCTTAACTGAAACTGACACTGTAAGTCATAAAATTGTGTCGAATATCATGTCTGTGCAAAAATGAATTTAATATTATGCATAATTGATATGGAGTGTTCTAACGATTCTTCTAAGTGAGTCACAGTCTCTATATGATTGTAGGCAAATAAAATTATAATCCTTTTGACAACTGGTCGCCATCAGCCTGAACGTGGAGCGATTCCGTTGCGCACTGCAGCTCTACCTCTCCAAGGGAAAGCACAAGTCTTTGCAATTGGCATTGGTTCTCGTCCTGATATCAACGAACTGCGTCAACTTACACAGCATAACGGAAACATATTTATTATTCCGTCATCAGGAAAAATCAAATCAATGCTTCAGTTTATAATAAAGCAAATGGCCATACTGAATGGTGAGGAATTTTTTTGATGACAAATCGATACATTGGACAGAAGTGTACTTTTAAAGCCCTTTAGCTCCCGAACTTTCAGCTCCCGACCTTTCGGAATTACCGCGCGCAAACTTTACTGGTTGAGTTTTCAACCGGACGTCTTCAGGAGATCAAACTGTCAGCCATATTTTTATTTCTTTGCAACCTCTGGCCTTCGAGGAAAAATGGCAAGAATCCAAAAAAGCACATATATCCCACGCGAAATATCAAAAAGCTGACACTAATGTTTTATTCTATATTTTATAATGTTTTATTCTATATTATACAGTACCTGAAATACGAAGTAATGATAAAAAGACAGATTTGGTTTTTGTGGTGGATTCTTCAGATAGTGTAGGAAATAACAATTTTGTCAAGTCTAAAGAGTTCGTCAAAGCCTTTGCCAGGACACTGAACATTGCGGCCGACAAGACACATGTTGCATTAATCACATTTGGTGATACGCCAGACTTGAGYATCAGATTTGGAGAACACTTGGAAGCACAACAGTTTCTTCAAGCAGTCGATAAGGTGCCCTACATCGGAGGTATAATTAAATTAGAGAGGTTTAGCATGACGTTCACGGCAAACGCCAAACGGCAGAAAAGATCACGTGACCTGCTTTTTTTTAGTTTAACGTTGCAGTTTCAACGCGAGAGTGGGTTATTTTAAGTTTGCCATAATCGTGAAAAGCCGCTCTTTCAAATGACTACCAAAAGCACAAGGTCGGGCACGAAATTCTTAGGTCATTGGTTCAGCTCTGCCGTTTGCCGTCAACGTGATGCTTAAACTCTCTATTATTTGTTCTCTTATTTTTTAAGACTAAAATACAAACACAAACATTTGCATTTACATAGATTTGGGAATTGAGCTAAATTAAACTACAACATATTTTTAGGCGCCAAAAGACTGGACAGGGCTCTCATCCTCTCGGCTCGAATATTGCAAAAATCTCGCCCCAGTTCCATGAAAATCGCCGTCATTATTTCAGATGGACAGCAGACCAATGAACGTGGTGTTGAGCCACTCGATTTAGCGGCTCAATCCCTGCATGGCCTTGGTACTAAGGTGTATGTAATCGGGACTGGTAGAAACGTTGACATAGACCAGCTTCAACGAATTACACAAGAGCCTGGAAATTTATTTATCTCTAGATCATATGATGATTTATTAGCACAAATTATATTTGTGTTGTTGGAGATGTCAATCGGTAAGATTGTTTTGATTTCGTTTTCTCAATTTATCTAAAGCAGTGTTACTCACTATAGGGAAGGTTCAGGGAATGCAGGCATCATAGCCGGCAATGATTGCGGCTATATGACATGACAGCGCATACGTTCAAATAAGTTAAAAATTGAAACAACTCTTGCTTATAAAACATTGATTCATACCCCTAAAAACAAATGTATCTTGTGTATTTTCTTCAATTGGCATTATTCAACAGTTCTGAAAGACTATTTTTATTGTAATTCATGTTTCGACTTTTTAAAAATGCAATCGACTCAGAATTTCGCTTGTATTATACAGTCGAACCTCTATTAAGCGGTCACCCTCGGGAAAAACCAATTAACCGCTTAATAGAGGTTGCCTTGAATTTAGCTCTTTACGTGGCAAAAAATGTAAAAAAATACGAAACTCATCAGGTAATTTAGTTTTAAGGAATATAAACGCTAAATACAAGGTTGAGAATTATAGTTTATAAAATAAATATACTGTACACAGTAATAGAGGTTGCCTTGAATTTAGCTTTTTACGTGGCAAAAAATGTAAAAAAATACGAAACTCATCAGGTAATTTAGTTTTAAGGAATAAAAGTTCCCTGCTGATTTTAATCCCAAGATTACAAGAGGTGACCTTTTAATAAAGGCACTGAATAACAATGAAAATGCGCAGTTGGGAAAGTCAAAAGGGTGACCGCGTCCGCTTAATAGAGGTGACCGTTTAATAGAGGTCAAGTTTACAGTAAATGTTAGAGTTAAATTTCGGGAAGTTAATAGGTGATCGCCTAATAGAGGGTGACCGCTTAATAGAGGTTCGACTGTAGTCATTTCTTTTTTCGTGTCAAGGTCAAGAACGAGTTATCAACGAGTCATCAGCGAGACATCGAACGAACAACGAGTCGTAGAAAATACACACGAAATCAATTACAAGTTTTAAAACTATATTATCGGCTTTATTACTTTTGCCGATATACTGTGGATTGCTTCTGGATTTCGCAAAATGAGTGAAATTCCGAGCGAGCGATATAAATATATATGAAAATCGACTTTTATTAGTTGGGTTCCAACCTAAATGGGACAGGCCACAAAGGTTCCCTGATCATAGCCTCCAATCTTAAAAAAAAAGAAGAATGAAAGTAAGTTATCTATTAGATTTTTGCCGTCGATCCGCTAAATTCTAATCTTTACTGACCTCATGTCTCATAACTATAAGTCATATTGTATTCTTAAAAGAAAAAAAGGAAAAACAGAAACAAAGAAGGAAAGATAAAAAAAAAGATCCCCGAGAAGGACTCTTATCTTGAATCCCAACTCAATCGTAATGGCTGAGTGAAATGAGCAAGATCACTTGGTTAACTCTATGTTTGTTTTAGGTCCCACAAGAACAGGCCCACGTGGTTATGTAGCAGACATTATGTTTTTAGTTGATGCGTCGGACCGAATCACCGATCTGGAGTTTCAGCAGCAAAAAGCCTTTTTCAACGATATTTCGCGTCGATTGAATGTTTCTCCTTATGGAACTCGGGCAGGATTTATAACATACAATAATAATCCTCATTTAGCAATCAAATTTGATTCATATAACAAGACTGCAGACTTCTATTCTCAGCTTTCACGTCTTAAGGTGAGTGTACTTCAGCAAAATCACTAACGTAGCATGTCCAAGTGCTCGCTACAAAAATANAACATGCTTTGAAAAAAAATATTGAATATGTGTATACACATTCATTCACACACACAACACTCTCTCATTATAATGATAGTAATAATAATTAACTGAAAATAATAAAAATTAAGTGTCAATTGAGTTCGAGACGGTCCTTGGCATTATCCATAAGAAATTGTTGAAGTCGTTTTGTAAAAAGTTTCAAATTTTTCTCACTCTTTAGATTAGGTGGTAGTTTATTAAATAATGAAGCCGAGTTATCTTGAAAGGTTCCACTTTCCACAGGAACAGTGAGGTTGACTTGCGTACTTGAACGAAGTTGACGTCCAGGAATTCGTTGTTCAATTTTGAGATAGTTAGGGAATGACTGATCCCACAATGATTTATGAGTAAATCGGAGAAGTTGCAATTGTGTTCGCTCTTTGGTGGGAAGCCATTTCAGGTGTTGAACTACGTCTTTTTCGGTGGTGTATCTGTTTAAGACAAAGCTGGCGGCTGCATTCTGTATCCTTTGAATTTTCTTTTGCAAATATGCCGGAAGTGGGTAACAGACTACGTCGTTGTAGTATAACTTTGATAGGACTAAACTTTCGACAAGTTGTTTCTTTACGTTTAAAGGTGCTAAGTTCTTCAGCTTTTTCAAAGTTGTTAGTATTCCATAGCACGATGAAGATAGTTTCTTAATTTGTTCAGTCCATTTAAGGTGCTCATTTACCCAAGTGCCTAAAAGTTTGAATGACTCTGTTCTTTCCCTGAATACCACTCCCTTCGCTACAATGTTGGGGACCACATCCTTCAGATTATGAATTGTTGACATTTGAGGAGTTGTTATCAGCATTTGTTTTGTTTTGGGTCCACTGAGAATTAGGTTGGATTTGGATGCCCAGTTCTCAAGATGTGACATTGTGTTATTCAACTTCTCTATTGCGTTTGTAAGTTCGCTTGGTGAGCAATGACAATAAAGTGTCGTATCGTCGGCATATTGAAAAGATTGGCATCCTAGGGCGTTAGGTAAATCGTTTACATATAGATTRAATAATACAGGCCCTAAAATAGAGCCCTGAGGGACGCCGAAACGTACGTCCAGGGTGTCAGATTGCTTATCGTTGATTTGGACGAACTGCYTTCTGCCATGTAAATAGCTGAGGATCCATCTCAGAGCATCTTGAGAAAAACCAATAGAATGAAGCCGTTTTATAATTGTAGAGTAGTCGACAGTGTCGAACGCCTTAGAGAAGTCAGCATAGGCTATAAGAGTTAGYTCACYCTTTTTCATTGCTTTGATGATATCATCTTTAATCTTCAATAAGATAGTAGTAGTAGAGTGTCCTTTCCGGTATCCGGATACTGTACTCTGTAGTATATTTTGCTGCTCTATGTATTCGAGTATCTGGAGAAGGATAAGCCGTTCATATATCTTAGACAACGCAGGAAGTACTGATATAGGTCTGAAGTGATCAGCATCTGTTGGACTGTCGATTTTAGGTATTGGAGATACACGAGCTATTTTCCATTCAGTGGGAAAACAGTTATTCTGTATACATTCATTGAGAATGTGAGTTAGCGGTGAGGCAATCAAGTCTGCTACTAGCTTAATGTACTTTACAGGGATTTGGTCAGGTCCAGTTGAACTATCAGATCTCATTGACTTCAGTTGGTGTAGTACTTCTTGATGGGTCACCTTGCGTAGATGAAATAGANCCGAGAAGGACTCTTATCTTGAATCCCAACTCAATCGTAATGGCTGAGTGAAATGAGCAAGATCACTTGGTTAACTCTATGTTTGTTTTAGGTCCCACAAGAACAGGCCCACGTGGTTATGTAGCAGACATTATGTTTTTAGTTGATGCGTCGGACCGAATCACCGATCTGGAGTTTCAGCAGCAAAAAGCCTTTTTCAACGATATTTCGCGTCGATTGAATGTTTCTCCTTATGGAACTCGGGCAGGATTTATAACATACAATAAYAATCCTCATTTAGCAATCAAATTTGATTCATATAACAAGACTGCAGACTTCTATTCTCAGCTTTCACGTCTTAAGGTGAGTGTACTTYAGCAAAAYCACTAACKTAGCATGTCCAAGTGCWCGCTACAAAAATAATCCTGCAACGTTTAGACTAAAACGCAGGAGTATGACTGGTTTAAACGACATCRAAGGATTCTAGTGTTGAAAAGAAGAGGCAAWTATAAGTATTTCATAGATAATTGTATGATAAACAATAATATTCCTCTTTATCAAATTAGAAACTTGGTGGAGGGCATAGGCTGGACAAAGCGTTACAACTGACTGGACAGATGTTTKCGGGTATTAGRCGAAATGCTGCTAAGGTAGTTTATGTTCAGAACAATTGTTGTTCTATTTTGTCAAACATTTTTCGAATCGTGTTAGCCGARWAATGATTTAAAWTGTAAACGGATGTTCTATCCATAMGAGATATCGTTTTATTTGCAAATAGTAATACTTTTTTATTATTTTTCTACAGGTGGTTATCATTCTGGTTAGAGGAAAACCGATCACCGATTCCGACTCGGCCCCACTGGCCAATGTCATAAAACCTTTTAAGAATCAAGGCATTGTMACTAATGTGCTGGCAATTGGTCCTGACCTGGATGTTTTTGAACTTACGACTATTGCCCGAAGACCAGAAAACATATTATTTGTGAACAACTTGCATGATTTACAGGCACAGATTGAACGAATCTGGAAACACATAGGTAATATTCTACCTGAYATTTGTTTAATCAAGTCCCTGATGACTTGTGGGTGAAATATTGAAATATTGAAGGGTGAAATATTAGTTACTGGGCAAAATGTTTATTAGATGGTGTCCAATTAAACAAGTCGGATCTTAAAATCTAACAATTGATGCATAACTTGTTACTAGTCTTTCCAAAATTTCCTCATCACCCTATATTTTACTAGGACGCACAATCTTGCGCAAAATGAAATCAAATCTCCACTTTTTGAATCTGTATTTTGATATCTTTCTTTGATATCACTATTGCAATAAGATTGTAAGAGTACAAATAATTGTTGTTGCTCTTTGTTCTATAGTTGGTACAACTGTTGTAAACTGTAATCAAACCTTGGACGTCGGAATTGTGATGGATTCATCYGGAAGTCTGGGACGAGAGCATTATTCTAAAGAACGCGACTTTATCAAGTCTATAATCAGAGAACTGGTCATTGCATCACCCAGCAGTCGCATTGGGATTGTTCCCTTTAGTGATTATGCAGAAGTGGCAATTGATTTTAACAATTTCCAGACAATGTCGTCTTCTGAGCTTGATGCGAGTATAGATGGTTTACCTTATGAACAAGGAAGAACAAGGATCGACCGAGCTCTTGATGTAGCGAATAGGGGACTTTTTATCAATAAACGTGCTGGTGTGCCACAGGTATTCACTACATCGTGCTTGGTCTAGAAGACTACATTGACTACACATTTTATTAAGACATCTAATTAATTTCCTCATTAGCACTTAATAAGAGATTTTGAGAGCAGGGAAACTTTTGATCTTGATATCTTATACGTTTTACGTAGGCGCTACGGCACGCTGCAGGTCTATTGTTTAGGCTACAGYTGTAGGGTATAGGCTGAAGAAGCATGCAGGTATAAGCCACAAAATCACGATATTCCATACTCAGTGCCTGTACGTCAAGGTACAGTGAGCATAAAAAAACGGTTTGCACTCTCAGTTACGTGTTGCTTCAGTGCATTGTTCATGGTCACAGGCTTTAGGTATGGAAAGTCTTTACTTTATTTTGTTTTGTTACTTGAACAGGTCCTTTTGCTGATAACAGACGGTCGACAATCTAAAGATCCAGGTTACATACCAGTCAGTCAGTCGATGATCCCGATAAGAATCAAAGGCATTAAAACCATTGCGGTTGGAATCGGTAATGATATCGATCTGGAGGAACTGAAGCAAATTACCGGCGACAATAAAAATGTGTTTATTGTTGGCGCTTTTGACGAATTGGAGGGGATTGTTAGGGGACTAGTGACAAGATCTTGTTCAATTTAAATTCTTCTCTACATCTAAGGTATCACTCGAAACTGAGTATTGTGAGTATTGTAGCAATATACCTAAGTTCTGTTGTACGGTTTTAAGGAAACAAATATACTGAGTAATAGAGTGGGAAACTGACCGTACCGTATCGTGTCTATAAAACCATTCAAAATTCCTGCCGTAACCGTACCGTGCATTGACGTTAACTAGTACGGTCAGTTTCYCACTCATACGAAAACCGCTCTAGACCATATTCAGTGATAGCTCTATTTTGATCGACATGATCGACTGATCATTGCCACTCAAAAAACAAATCATCAAGCGAACTAAAATCCGTAAAACAATAATTGAAGAGTTGATTCTTTCTTAAGTAAATAGTATTTTTAATGTTGAAATATCACTTCATTTCAATGTTGAAACATGAAGATTCAATCTTTCAATATGCAAATGTATGACCACAAAAAAAGCGCCATTAGATATACGAATTTTGAAGCAGTTGATCAAAAATGGTTTTCTAAAATTTTCCCTTTATTTTTGGGCCAAAAATAAGCATATGTAAACCCCAAGCATATTCGATAACGTTAATCCTGAGCAAATAACAATAAATAATGTAATGTTTTCATTGGATTTCAGATATTCTTCATGTCCTCAGAGTGATCTTCTGTGCAAGCACTTTCACTAAAGATAAGGATAACTTGGGTATTAGTTGGAGAAATAACTAAATGTAATCATGATAACTTTAAAGGTCCTATCATTTCTACGTCGAAACGCTGCGGCTTAACATTTCCATAGTATTGGGGATCTTCRTGTTTTTAGCTGCATGCTATTAATTTCGGGGAAACCGGTAACAAAAATTAAATATGCAAATAAAGTCATGTTTAACCTAGGAATTAGTCTGAGTTTATACATAGCTAACATAACATTGCKATTGAGTGAAGCAGCAAAATAATGGACCATGATCTCTCTTAAGGGGTATATATCACCACAACAAAACAACTAAGCAAAATCAAAGAGTTAGAAAAAATAGAAAATAAAAAAGAATAAGATTTCACAGCCATACGTACTATCCAAAGAGAATACTCCATTTTCGAATTCAAAGCGAATGACCGCTATTTCATTTGACATCAGATTYTCTTATGCAAAGTACTTACCAAACACACTGAAAAGAAAGCACGAGGAAATGTTGCTAGTACAATAGCGCTAACAATTTGCATTTTCCCCCGAATTGAGGCTGACCCTGTATTTCCAGAAGGCTCGTACCTTGGTCTTATGGGAATACAGGGTTATTCTTAACTCAGGGAAAACGCAAATTTTCAAGTCTATTGTAATAACGACATTTTCTCAYGCTCTCTTTTGTGTTTGTAAGGTCTTTGTGCAAGAAAATCTGTTGTCAAATAAAGCAGCGGTTTTGCGCTATGAATTCGAAACTGGAGTATCAAGTAATTTTTGATAATATTTCGTTTTTTCTCAGTATCATTCGGACAGCCGTGACTTYCTCTATGAGACTAAAATCAAGTTTCAAGTTTAATTCAACAAATAATAAATTACACATGASTTGTTTGAGGGCATCACAATTAGTTAAGACTATTAGGGCAATGCGCGCTATAGACACTAATTTAGATTACAAGATGTAAAAGATAATATGAGGACAATGAAGAAAAAAGAAAATCTTAAGCAGGTTTATATGAGAAAATGTTCTGAAAAAAGAGAAAAGGAAAAAGAGAACAAKTAAGACAAACAAAACAAAAACAAAGCAAAAACATACTGACAAGAAAAATAAGCAGCTATGTGATTTAATTACTACTGAGTAGCCCTGTCAATTCCAAAATAGCTCTCCTCATTCTGCAACATGTAAAATAAATTTGACCGTATAGCTTTCTTGAACAGAGGCTTTGGATACTCCCTGATAGAACTAGGAATTGAGCTCCAAAGTCTTACACCGGCTCCAGAGAAAGAGTGAAGTTGAGAGGTTAATCTGGAGGACGTAGTAAAAAATTGTTGGCAGTTGCCRAGCGTGTTTGGTAAGAGTGAGTCTCTCTCACAGTGGAGAACATGTCGATTATTTTACTTGGGCACATTCCATTAGACACATCATGAATCAGGCTCGACACTGCTTGGCAGTTGTAAAATGAGATCTTTTGGGTTGGGGTGACTTGAGCTACACGCCTGTAGCTGTACGAGAGATACTCCGTGTACAACGTCAGGTTAGGCACAAACTCTCTTTATTGCTGGTACTTGTATCAAGGTTCTTTACATCTATATCTTTGAGTTAACTGGGCGAGCGAGCCTGAAAGACTCTCAGTAACTATCAGTGTCTCTGAGTGTGAGCGTAAGAGTAAGAGTGTCTAAGAGTCCTGAACTAGGATAACTGATCCTATTTATACTGTTCCATGTATCTGAATATGTTACGATTACATTTACATAACAAGGCGTTTGGCCATAAGTCAAAATCCTAAGAAATATGTTCTTGAATGAAAGACTAACATTTGTTATCGTACATAGATCGATACTTAAGAACTAGTCCTATTATTGTGTTATTTTACTGATACTGACGAGAAGTCTTTATGTTATTTAAACCTATTTTCCTTGATAAAACTTTTACTTCATTAATACTGCAAACATGATGCTTGATCAATAATTTACGATATTTGTCCAGATCTATATCGTTCGTGCCAGGAAATGGCAAGGGAAAGCCAAGCGTAGGAGGTGTGCCAAACAAGCGTATCCGAGATAAACAAAATGTATTTCCAATTCATATAGTTGTAATCGTACTAGCTCGATAGCTAGTCGATACCAAATACGATAATTTTAAATGTAATATTTAGCAATATTACA